ACATTGGAGAGACACACACATCGCTTGCGGATAAAAGTGGGCCTTGCGATTTTATGCCTTCGGCAAGTTTGAACATTAATTTGGATACTTCATTTGCTTATTGAATCTTTATGCCTAATATTTTCTAAGTCTTAAGATTTTATATTTTATATAAGATTGTGTGATTTGTATAGTACGACAATCCTTGAAACTAAAAAGTTGCCAAAGTAAATCAACACGTATCACTTTGTTGCAGAGGAAAACAAATATAGTAGCCCCATACCTTTAGTTTGACGTTATGCTCACGTAGTTTTGAAACTGTGAGTGCAATACACATTTTCAAATTGCGTCCCAACGATGTAAACAAATGCGAGATAGGGTCTAAAATAAAACTGTAGGCCTAAGGTTGGATTAGAATAATCTATATTTATAAGACAATCATGGATTAGTATAATTAAGAGCCGACGAGTGTATTAAGCCGGAACTCTAGACCTAGATCTAGTAGAGTTTTGGGTAGAATCTGCCCTAGATCTAGTCTAGACTCTAGACCTAGACCGATTAGGCGCGCCTAGTCTATTTATATTATGATGTCAAAACATCGAGAACATCCTTAAGATGCCCCGAACGATGCACTAGAGGTCTAGATCTAGATCTAGACCTAGGCCTTAATAAGATTAAAATGACTGAAAGAGAAATGATCACAAATACCTTCTTGATGCAGAATAACTAGTCCAAAGTCAACATTGAAGCTCATATAATATGGTCGAATTTTAAGCGTTTTTTGTTAGGACAATGCAATATTTCTAAACCGTGTGTACTTGTACAAATGAATGCGCGCACGATCGATGATATGCGCGCACGGTGATCGAGAAGGGGATCATGATACCCGACATGTCGGTTCGAAAAAGGATTCCATTGTCCTAAAAAAAAACTAAAAATCAAACAAATGAGCTTCAGCAATGTTGACTTTAGACTAGTTATTTTGCATCAAGAAGGTATTTTTGATCATTTTTAGTTTCTCTTTTAGTCATCTAAATCTTATTTAGAGCATTTTTATGTTGTTCTGGAAGTTTTGACTAATCTGCATGGGCATGCAGAAATTGTAGAATCCCGATTTTTGTATTATTTATTATTCGTAAAGATCAATTCCACCTCGATTCAGACTTTTTCAGCAGTTTAACAATAAATCAAAGGGTAAAACAAAACAAAAAATCACGTCATAACGTTCAATGGTTGCTTCGAAAGAGATTTGTTTGTGTCGAATATTTTGAATTGAAATTATTAACTTTGCAGCACGAAATCCAGCTATAACAAAGCCTATAAAGGCCATATCAGCTACCCTTGAAGATGGATGAGCTGTACTGAGCATGTGCAGTAGAAGCAGACTACATCTCCATGGTAGTTAAACCTTGGCTTAACTTTAAACCTGGGTTTTAGACTTAAACCTGGGTTTAACTAAACCTGGCTTTCAGAAACTGAAATGATACTTAGACCTGAAGTCTGGCTTAGTTAAACCCGGGTTTAAAGTTAAACCTGGGTTTAACTAAACCTGACTTCAGAATACGGGCCAATGTCTTTTAATGTTGTCTTCTTCTCCTCTGAATATCCAACAAATAGTTAGACCTGACTTAAGCCAGACTTAAACTAGGTGTACCCCAGGTTTAAATATGTGTACAATTTCCACAGAGTTAGACCAGGCTTAAACCTAGGTTTAAGTTAAACCCGACTTCAGAAACGCAAAATTAAACCTAGGTTTAAATCTGAGAGTTAGGCGAGGCTTAGACTAGACTTAAACCTAGGTTTAAAGTTAAACCTGACTTCAGAATACGGGCCCTTGGGTTTACGATGACCCATAACGGAGGGAGGGGAGGAGGGGTTACATGGAAGTGTGATAAAGGTGAACGTTCTTTCATCATCATCATCAACATCTTTCAACCAACCCTGGTTACGCCACAGTAATGTTACAAGTGACGCTACTCTGCTATCATCACTGAACTCATGTGAAATGCTGGCATGGTATTTTGATTCCCATTGGACACATGCCTGATATTCCATAGCCTTACTATTAAAATTGGGTAGCGACATGGGGACATAAACTGACAGCAGAATGCAACAAGTTTTGTAAAGCTTTTCCATTATCATTACTACTACAATTACAATAAGTTGTTTTTATCATAAATTCACTCAATAGATTTTTAAAGTTCATCAATTTTTTTTTTTTTTTTTTTTTTTTTTTTGGGGGGGGGGGGGGGGTCAAAAGATCAAAAAGTTCCTTAAAATCTATTTGAACTATTGTCCACTATTCTTTTATTTCTGTTTGTTTTATTCATTCATTTATTTCCTATTAATATTCGGTTTGGGATAATTAGAAATAAGAGGTAATTAAACTCGAAAAGAGGGGAGTCCTCAACATACCGTTTTTACATTTAAAAAAAAACGCGACTTTATTTATCAATCTTGCACAAAGAAGGAGACAAAATAGGCAATGAAAAAAAGAAGAGCAAATGCAGAGCCCCCCCCCCCCCCTCGTACCAACTACTCTCACCCCCCTTCGCCTTTCGCTACGCCCATGTCAGCAGCAGCGTATCTCGATGCCAGTATAAGCACCTAGTCGTTTGCGTATACCATACCGTAGTAGTGAGTTTGGCATTTCACTCCAGCCGGAAATTGGCTTGGGTCCTCGACAAATAGGCGAAGTTCCCTTCAATAACAAGTGATCCCTTTAAAAGTCTCCCATCCTCCTAAACCCCTCCTCTGAAAATTTGACCTCAATATGAAATGCAATATTTTTGTTAAAATTGTCTCTTTCTACCAGGTTGATGTAAATGTAATTCAATTAGCTACCTGGTGCCCAAAATGGTACCTCAGCCAAAGATCAAATTCAGGATAATCTTTGTAATGTGTCCAGCCGCGCGCCAGAAATGTCATGATCAGGTAAATTTGGACATTGACAGACATGACACCATAGGATTATCAGCGTTGACAATGATAATATGGTGTAATTCCGATTATTTTTATTGTTATAATAATCAATGCTGTAGTTATTTTATCCATATCATGATCATGATCATCATCATCATCATCATCATCATCAACAACTATACCACCATCTTCATCATCCTCATCATTATCCTCATTATTAATATCCCTAATATTACTATTTCCGTTGTTGTTCTTCTTCTTGTCGTGAGTGGAATACTAATATATTGGTAAAATTATAAGGAACAAATATCACCCGTTAAAACATGCAATTGAAGATCGTGGCTTTAATGCAAGGGTTTTAAGATAGAGACCGGTAGTGGTAAAATTGCGGTTCAAGGGTTTGAGGTGCAAAATAAGCATTCAATATTGTTTAAATATTGCCGTCAGAGGTTTAGATGGCAATACTTCAAAAATTCGCAAAAAAGCAGAAATATATCCCCAAATGTTCAATGTTGAAGTGCATTCGCGATATCTATCCATGCCGGATCGATATGATAATTTATCAAATATACCAAATAGTAGGCGGTTTACCGGCAAACTGTGTATCATCACGTATTAGTCAAAACATATTCTTTCGCATGATTGGTAATAAGAGCTTCCATTTCATTTTTTTAGAGGGGGGTATTTCCAAAACTGGCCTATACCTTTAAACCTGTGAGTTAAACATCAGCGAAGAGCTGTGCCAAGTTTTATCTCAATAACACGTCAAATTTGGGGTCTTCCTTCATGTTGTATAAAACCAAAATTAGAAAGCATTACATTGCAGTTCTATCAATCGTGGTGGGAGAGCCTTCTTTCTTTCCGGCAAACATCAATGACATGTTATTTGTATATTTGTTTATTTGAAGAGACCAAACATGAATTTAATTGTGTAATTTTAAAACGTTATGCATATCATGATGAAAACGAAACCATACCAATTGTTATAAGTATCTTTTACTGTTAACACGATTTGTTATATTATAAACCATGGCAAGATCGTAAATGACTATGAAAGCAGGATGAAAAAATTTAATACATTTAAAAAAATGATATATTTACTATTTAGTTAAAAAAGAAATATCAATTCAGTGACTGAATAATGTTACGATTCCATCAATTTATGCTTGATTTGTAGACTCTCGGCTTCAGAGCTCAATCAGTCTGTTCGCAAAGGAACTGAAATCGTTTTTTCCCTATGAATATTGTCCAACTTACGTGACGTCAAAGGATCCAAGTTTTTAAACCGCAAACGGTGCAAATCTCATTTGATCCACTCTATTCATATATTTATCAATTATTGTGACTTAATGGTTTTATGCTTGATTTGGACCCCACCCGTTTATTTGAGTAAAAATTTTATGTATTCCTGCTAATTGCCTCTGACTGTATATGTCTCTGTCCCCTCTCTTTAAAACGTTCGCGATAAGTGAATTGCTGATTTTAAACGCAGTAGGGGCCCTGCATGTTTTATGAATTAAGTACGTTGGATGTTAAAGGTAATACAAAGTTTTGGGAAATTTTGGAAATTGGGTGGATAGTGATTCTTTAACATTTTGATATATTTGGATGCCCCTGTGGATGTATTATAAGCACCAGAAAATTTAGCCCCTCAAACACTTGTGTTTTCGAGAAAAATTGAATATAAAAATTTACCGGTGCTCCCGGTAAATTGTGATAAATTTCAAATAGCGCATACGGCCAAACAATGGTAGCTGCGAACATGAAAATCTCAGAAATTGTAGTTGTGATATATAATTTCCAAACGGGAAAAGCCAACCGGTCGATTTTAGTCAAGAAACATTGTTTTATGGCTTAATTAATATCGTGACCTTGAGAGGGAGCTATACATCATACAGAGTTTATTATTTACAATTTCATAACTTAAGACTCGGTTTCAACCGCGACAACAATCTCTGAATATTGTAGGATCGCATATGCTTCCAATATGTTCATTTGAACCAAATCCATGACCCCATACCAAAACTTTGTATTACCTTTAAGTAAATCAGTAAGTTATAGAAAATTCAACAAAAAATAATATATAAGCAAAGACTTACTTTGGGGGGCAGGACTTCCAGCATCTCCCTGTGAATAGACACAAAAGAAGGAAATATAGTTAGATTTAACTTTGATATTTTAATTCTGTAATCACAGAACATCATGTATATATGCCAAAAATAAACTTCACACTAAACATGCCAGATATACATAATAATATGGTATTTTCAGAAAAAGAATTCAATGATGTACACACGTGAAAAAATATAATTGATTAGCGGTTTTACACGAACTTCGGAAGAAATTATTGGTTTACATAAATATTGTTTTTATATAAATGCCGTTTAGGGATAAACAAACATAAATAAACGGTACATGGATATATTTTTAAGTATATAATTTAATAAATATATAGTTAGATACAAGTGATGAAATGTTGTTAATAACGTCTAGCATACATTACAAAAAAGTTTAAACAGAATCACAGATTCGCACAGATTTCTATTGATCAGTTTTCGTACGGTTTGGATGATTTTAAAAATATACCATTTGATACGTGAGCTGAATCATGATTTTAAAAAAGATCTGTTATCAAAATATACTAAAAAACGAGATTGAAGTCTTGCACTTTCTGAAGTACAAGTACGCGCAAGTTATCTCTCACAGATAGCAGGGAAGCACGTCACGAGTTCGAAAATTTCCCCGAAAACAATGAACCCGTGAGAATACGCCATCCTGAAAGTTCTACATTGTAAAGATTCTCGAGATAAAACAAAGTGTACTCTGTTCCTGACCATATATTGTACATTCGTAATACATTTAAACTGGAAAAACGTTAAAGAAAAAGTTTAGTTCAGGATTGAATACATCGTTATAATATCATTTGAATTGTACGGTTCTCTGCCTCTGTTAATCAGATGTGAACGCAATTTTTGTTCATATAAGGCTTGTTTGCTGACGTGTACTACCTACTTGCATCATGTTCATTTCAGTCATAGCCTTGACTTATTTTTTAATTTCTTTTAAATACCTCTTTTCAGTTGGAATTTTGTTGCATGTAAATTATAGGCCTACTCTGTATATTTTCCTTCTCTATTGATAGCAATGACGTTGATTTTCTTTGCCATTTTCAGTGGCTTAAAAAGAATTTGATACTTCGGGGTGACTTCAAAATTTTACAAGACGCGTCAACAAGTCAACATGGTCAATAGATTTGCTTTGTTGTTGTTGTTTTGTTAGGGGTATATGTACAAACTCTTCATTCGATTAATTACATAGAAGTATTACTCAATACTTAATGATAAGTACCGATGTATTTGGTTAATAAAATGGAAAGATAATGATCGTAAATATCACAGATTAGACTATGACTATTTATAAAGCAATTTATTACGACCTGACTGGGATTACAAAGTGCATGGTCGCAGATTAGGAAGTCACGAAGTCAATGGCTTTTACCTCGATATCCGCTCTGTGCCAATTTAGATCTCACCAAATACAATGAAGTGATTCTAAGCCAATGAGCTACACAATGATACACATCCAGGTAATCAGATAAAATATGGTATTTTCTCTTTAAGGCAAAAACCAGGTAAGAATAAAGGTATAACTCTGAATCTAGGGCAGGTGGATGGGGAGGGAAGATTGTGGAGGATCGGTGCACAGGTATTTAGATAAGATCTTTTGCTTGGATTAAGTGACGGCTGTAGGCGGAGATATAACTTTAAATGGGTCGTAATTCAAAACATAAACGGATTAACACGATTATGTTTTTTCTGATATTCCTTGTCCTCACACGAAACACAAATATTGATATTGATCATCAAGACCAATTTTATAATCCGGATTGGGACTGCGAGGCAATACAGGTGTGAAAAGGGTCATTATAACGAAAATCTATTATGATAAAGAGATAAAGGGTGGATTAGTATTATGCATCGAAACCTGTGTCTGTGTACTTCTTTTTATAATTTCAGAATTGAAATCTAGGACTCCCACAAGTTCATTGCGGGGTGAGAGACCTAGTATAATTTCGCCCTCTGACTTTATCTTAACCCTAAATTATTTCCTTCTTTGCTTCTTCTTCATATTTTCCTTTCTTTTCTTCTTCTTCTTCTTCTTCTTCTTCTTCTTCTTCTTCTTTTATTCCTTCTTCTTCTTCTTTGATATCATCTTTTTCTTATTCTTCAGCTTCTTCTTCTTCTTGTACATCTTCTTCTTCTTCTTCCTGTTCTTATTTTCTTCTTGTTCATCATCTTATTTTCCTAGTTTTTATTCCTGCAGGTACTGAATTAATACGAATGTATTAATTAATTTTTCCCCCTCGTTTTCAGCGTTAGCAAAATAATTCAAAAGGATGATGAGCGTACTTAAATTGAAATTAAGCTTTTATTTTTTAGTTCTCAGATTACGAAAATGAACAGTTTGAAAAAGGTTTGATTTTTAATTTATTTAGTCCCTCCTTGAATGTAAATTCTAAATGTATAGGGTAGAATATTTCTGGACATATATCACTTTCTCTTTTTCAATCACACAATTATATGATAAATCCATTAAATACAAATTATCATATCACTTACAAGTTCCAATTTTTTTAATGGTAGGCTCATAATGAGCGAAGTACAGTAGCTCCTTGCATGCCCGTAATATCAACCTACTTGACCTACATTTGACTTGGCGCGAAGAAAAGACTCCAAAATATTTAGGGCAGACGGATTCGTGGGAAATTACGAAGAGCTCTCTCGCTTTGATTGGGAGGCATATCAAACCAAAATTGCTTTCTAAGATCCAGTTTATATGTTACAATCCTGCCCTGCGGTGAGATTTATGTCGTCGCAGGAGGCGGATGACACTAGTTGTCAAACATTACTTTTCAAATGTTTTACCTGAACAACATGTCATTACAATAAAGAAATAGAGAAGAAAATGTACTTTGGCACGTACATACAACGTTCTGTTTTTGTTATGTTTCGTGATTTAAACAAAATTGACCGCATTTTTCAAGTTGAAATTGAGGGCAAGCAATTGATAATTTTGCAAACTATGTTACGTAAAATCTACATTTAAAAACGAAAATGTTAAGTTAAACTAAGGCAATCGGTCTGTACAAGAAGAAAGCAACGTCAAACAAAAATTGGGTGGTCTGCCTAAGCTATCTCATTGTTTGACATCTTGTTAATCAAAACATTTGACATTGTCAAGAGCGTGCCCAATTTCCTCAGATGGAGGGATCACCTTTAGAAAGTTATCGCTTTAAAGCAGCTTGTCGTTACCATTCAACTTCTACTTTGTAATTCATCGAAGTACAAGCTCTCCAGGCATTTGGTCTTTTATTTCGGTGTCCTATCTTTGCCTAAGTTATCCCTCAAAGTATAAAATTAACCCAAACTACAATGTAGCCCCTTTGGCTTTCATCAACATATTCATTCGTTCTCAAAGATGTCTGATCTTTAATTATGAGAGTTTATAACCATGTGTAAAAGATGTGATAATAACAAAAAATAGGCAAAAATCAAAATCGAACTTTACTCAAGTGACTTAAACCATGATCCATGATTAAAGGAACTGCTTCGTCGAATGTCCATGTATCCCTTATGCCCCTGGAACAAGAGGCCTCATCTCGATTGCATGATCAGTTGCGCTAATAAAGTCTGTAAGGGCATTATGTCCATATGCCAATAATACAACGCAAGGCTTATCATGCATACCCTGTTCACATCGCTATTCACTGTTTGTACGGTGTCGCTCTCACAATGGGGCGTCAAAGACCGCGTCAGTCGCTGACGCATTCGTACGTCAGACAAATGACGCCTTGTGTGCAATGAGTATGTGGACTCCCAAGTCACATCTCTGACGTATTCAGAACTAAGGTATGAGCAATGTGGTGTGATACCCATGACTTATCTCTGTTTCTCCCTCAAGAGGAAACTTTGGTCACCTGACTCATGAGATATACCTGCCTTATTTTGCAAATACAGTTTAGTTATATTGTTGTATAGGGGTGGATGATTCCCAGTAGGCGTAACAAGGTGTATCGAATTCTAGGAAAATCCAGGCACGTAACTCGAAGAAAAAAACCTACTCACTTGTAAGACAAAGCGAATGGCTCTGTTTCTTAAATAATATGCTGATGTTTCTTTCTTTTTTTCTTCTTCACGAATTTATCTGACATTTCACTTTGAACAATAATATTTGACTTTGTTCTTAGTCATACCCGTGGCACTTACTTTTCCTTTTAAAACAATTTGTACTACCGTGTTCAGGCTTCTATTATTCTTCAGTTTAAAGTCAGATATTTACTTATTTGAATCAATTTCTAAACTATTGACTAAACCAAACCAATAAATAATAATCTACTTTATTATATTTTCAATTGTTTAAATCCAACATTATTTTTAATCATCCATGTTATGGGCAGTCGTGTTTAATATAGCATATTAATAATGCATGTCAAGTGATTTTAATTCAGTTCAGCCAATGGCGCGCTGGCTCAGTGGTAGAGCAGTGGTCTCGTAACCTGGAGGGCCCAGGTTTGACACCAAGTCGTGCGCTAGTGCCCATTTGGTAAGGCATTTATCCTCATTACCAAGTCCCTTGGAAAGGATTTAAAGCCGTCGGTCCCCTGGTTGCTTACTCACAAGCATGCACATGCTTTCTTAGCAGTCAGGTAAAACAACACAAGACAAACAAATGGGCTACTATGCTCATGATATACGAAACAAACCATTCAATGCAATCCACTCATTTGACGAACCCTGCATGTGCGTCAGGTGTTGCAAACAAGTCTGTAAAACTACATGAATGTAAGCATGAACCTAATTAGGTTCATGATGTAAGTCACTTGGCAGGCAAGACGCAGGGGAAATGACAAACCGAAACATCACGAAGGATGTAAGAGACAAGAAAGTAGGAATGTCAGGGAAAACCCAAACGACATCAAGGTGATCAGATGTAATCTTTATTTTGTTAAGCCTCCCGTTTTCCTATGAAAGTTCCTGACCAACTGTCATGTTCGCATATTTCAACCTATATGTGCATTATGCTAGTAGCGAACGAGGCATCATTTCTATTGCAATATCGACTGCGCT